GGGCTCCTCTTTAAGGCACACAAAACATCCAACTTGGACCATTCGCAGCTTTAAGCTAAACAGATTTGTATCATAAAACTCAAAATGCGAACTAACGTGTCCATAAACGAGTGAGCTTAACAAGCTCTGTGAGGCTAAGCAAATGGCATAAAAGTGAACTTTAATTGGTAATTAAAATATGCCATAAGAGCTGAGAGCTGCTTCAGCAGCAGCTAGCAGGAGTTCATTACGGCCAGCTTTTTCGAAACAATTATGGGAATAATTGCTGCATTGTGTGCTTAGACTCCGTCATTGCATTCGAATGATTCGCGTAATTAAATCATGCTCTAAAATTGGAAAGAGGGAGAGAGAGAGAGAGAGAGAGAGAGAGAGAGAGAGCTAGAGTGAGAGCCAGAGAGTGCGAGCGTGAAAATGAGCATAAAATATATTTTATTGTGTAGCACAAAAGGATCCATGGCGAATACGTTTGACAAATGTAATATCCAAATGAGAGATAAATTAAATGCAATTAAAATTCAACTACGGCATTGAGGCGGGCCTTGCCTACGTCTAATTGTCTTTAACAGGAGCTGCCTCCGGCAGGGCTTTGTGAGCTAATTGAAGTGTGTTGGGCATAACAAGGCTTTCGAATGCATAAATAATTACGCTCGCCGGCTCAAGGCTCACAAGCACGCACACAAGCACGGCCAACGGCCAACGGCAATAGATAGGAGATAAGCGCCTATTGTCCGATAGTCAAACAATTCCGGTTATATGTATTTATATGATTGTCATTGCATGCGCACATATGGCGCAGCTGATTCAGGACGATTCATTTACATTTTCGTCAACTCTGTGAGTGTGTCCGTTTGTGTGTGCACTAGGATATCCGGTTGCAAATAATGAGACCCAAAGATAAAACACAAGTTCTGCCAATAGCCAATTGCCAATTGGTCGACTTCAAGCACATACTATGTACGTACATAATATGTGTGTATACTATAAGGCCAAAGTGCTCTTCTCACTCAGTTCTATTGAGTATCGGGTCAATGCTGCCAGTGCTCGAGCGTCACATTATTTGTTCTACAAGACACAACCTAAGCAAATAAACATACCAAGTGATGGCCTGATATGGGCAGGCGAAGACTTAAACAACCTGCCCACCCATTCATCAATTATTTCCTGTTCTCATCAAATCTCAATCGGGTTGCTTGGCTATGCCCAAAGAGATAAGTTGGGATACCTTTTCATTTTGGTCATGGGAAGGAGAAAATTTAATTCTGATATAATTAATTCATAAATATTATTTATATATTTATATATTTTATTTATTTATTAGACATTAGAGCTCACATCAAATTAAGCACTTGTATTAGGCTAGATCTTTATATATATATATGCTTATTATGCATATGAGATTAATGGCAGTCTGTTTCCCTATTTGTGATTGGTTCTTATTAAAGTTGCAGTTGTATTAGTGTAAAGCTTCGAGCTTGCGTAGAGCAATAGTAAAATGTTATCCAATTGAGTTTGCGCCTTAGCTGCATACACTATACGTCCCAAATTGAGAGAAAGAGAGAGGAAGAGAGAGCTAGACAAATATAGCGATTGCTTATGAAGTCCCAGCAGTTGCTGAGTGAGAGCGAGATAGCTAGCGAAGCCATTGAACGTGCTCACTACGATTGTCTGAGGACGAATAGAAAGCGATTAGGAATTGGCATTCCGTAAAAGCTCAATGTGACGACAACGCAACGGGAATTTGTTATTGGAAGAAGAGTTTATATATATACAAAAGTATATACATACATATATATGTATATAGTATATATTTAATTCATTTTCAAAAAGTCCCTTTTCTATTTCTTCACATCACAGACAAAACATATATGTATATCATAGTGAGACTTAGTTCTAGTATATTTATTTATAAAAAACCACTCAATTCTTAAATCTTGTAAGTTTCATTCACGATTTACTTCTTTGTATTGAAATTTACTTAACCAAATTGAAATGTGGCATAAAAGAAAAGAGATAACAAACAGTTGCTTCAAATACCTCTATTCTTTGCTAACCATTTTTATCTCTCTTTTTTTGGCTATAAGCATTCTTCAGACTTTGATTATTTGTATTAGATTGGGATACCCTAGATGGCTGGCTCGAAAATACGCCTTTAGTCTATCTTTGTTGGCGACAACCGTAACCAAGTCAATGCCATCATCATCACCATCATCATGATCATCATCATCATCATAATCTTGATTGTTATTATGCCCTTTCACATTCATAGACCATTTCAATCAATCACTAAGACTTTAGAATTTACCACATTTCCTGAAGTTCAGGGCAACGAGCGAGCGAAAATAAGAAATGACTTTAAATAAATAAAATAAAAGGCAAATAACTGTTCTCAGCACTGTGTTCTGTTCTGTTTTGTTACTGTTTCAGTCAAACAACAAATATTACGATAAGATGCTGCTGGATGAGCATTGAATTTGGCCACATAGCTGTGGGCTGTAAACTGTGGGCATGGCCTTGGGCTTGTCCTGTGTCCCTCAGAGGTACGCTCAACACCTAGGGATAGTCCAAATGAGGGAAAATCTTTGACAATATGGCCAGCAGAGCGTATATATACATACGTTGACAGAAGGTCAGCCAAAGGGAGCAAAGGCGTGGCTAAAACTATGGCAACAAGATGCATACATGTATGTGTGTGTGCGTGTGTGTGATGCCAAATGCTAACCAACGGTTGTACAAAGGGTAAGTATATGGAATGAACCACAATTATAAAGTGTCTGGAATATACATTCCCTTGAAATTTAACCTAATTACGATCCTAACTAACCACAACTGCAACTTAGCAATTGCAATTTGTGCATACATTTGCATCTTGTGGCAATTGCTATAAAACAAAATTACAGTTACATTCAAATAAAGCAACTCTCGTTTGACCACGTTTAAAGTAAAATTCTTTAATTAAATATGTTTTACTTTCTGGCATAAGCTTCGAACACTCGTAAGGAATTACCTAGCAAATATTACTATACTTAAGACACTAATATTTCAGTTGTTAATTTTATATTAATTCAGATCTCTTATAAAAAAAAATAAATATTTGAATTATTGTTTAAGAAATTGATACCATCTGGTCACATTAAATAAAATTTGTCATCAATTTAAATCTGTCGAAGGGTTACAAATACTTAAGAATATTTATCGATTGATTTATTGATGTGAGAAAATGCTGCTAATGGTTTATTATTTAATTTTGTTCTCTTAATTTCTTAATAACAAAAATAAAAAATAAAAAGTAAATATATTTTTTTAGGTCCGCCATTAGGTTTTAAATATTTAACCAATATTCAATTTACGAGGTCTGCACCTAAAGGTATTACATACACCATCAATAAAACTCTTTTATAGATATTTAATATAATAATATATATACTTAATTAGTATCAAATAACGGCTCATGTCATATTCACGCCAATATCTGACATCAGTTCTCTAGCATTTGCATTCCCTAAAAACAACTAGCAAAACATTGCTCAAAACTCTCTTTACTCTCTTTTCACTCCATTCACGCATGTAGAAACAGTTGAAATTCTAAATATTTCAATTTAAACTGTACTTCATGCAGTATTTCATTAAGATTGAGTTTGAATGCGATACGAGAGTTGATGAAAAAGGCGTAAAACCTTTTTGTCTTCAGAGCGCAGAGATGCTGGCAAAGGAAAATTACCTTATCAGAATTTGTGCGCAATGTGGGGCTGCTGTTAAGCTCTCAGCCCAGTTGGATGAGCCAACGGTTTTCAGTGCTGCTCTGCATCGGGCATTCATACATCAGGCGTACATTGCATTGAAAAGTAAAACAATAAAATTGTACATGGCCCATAAAATGGCATAAATATGACGAAACTGTGGACCATGATGCAAGGTGGACGGCGGGGGGAGACAACCACGGAGGACTTGCCCACGCACGATTGCCAGGCCATTGTGTGTGCATAACGTTGCCGGTGTGTGTGTGTGTGTGTGTGTGTGTGTGTGTGTGTGTGGGTGTGGGTGTGTGGGTGTGCTGTCCACATGGGCATTGTTTGGTACACGTGTGCGCTTATTGTTTTTGTTGCCTGCTTTTAGGCGCTGCGCTCATTGCTGGTTATAAATTTTATCACTGCCAACGCAGTATAATAAATTTGTGCACCGCCTTGTGGATTTGTGTAAATTTGCACAGCGACAACCGATACAATATAAATACAAATACAAATACAAATACATATGCATATGTGTATATATAGATGTCCCATCAACATATGCCATATGCTGCCTCCAAATTTGTTCATCGCATACTTTCGTGCGCCTTTGTTTATTTATTCCTTTCAGCACAATTGCATTTGTGTGCGTGTGCGTGTGTGTGCAATTGACAAGTGTAGCAGCTGTATCTGAAGTGTTGGTTTAATCGATGATCTAGCTTAACGTCACATTTTAAGCTACTATTGTGATTTTTCACCTGACTGAGGATTTGATCACGAAAGGAGAGCTTAAAGAAGGTAGCTTAAAGAGCTTAAAGGTTACTGCGAGTGCGTAAGTGTGTGTATGTGTGTATGCGACTGTTTATTCATATTTGTTTTGAATGTTTTCCTATAATATAAATGATATTGAAGCTCATTTCGCCCTTCTTTGCGATTCTCAAAGATTCAGCTACTAAATATACTATATATATAATATATAGTAAACAAGATTTCATTTTTTTCGTATTCCATTTGGACCTCATTCTCTTTCTCTCTTTTTGCTTTCCTTTCATACTTCATTCAATTGAGGGCAATAAAATGTTAGTGGTAGTGTATGAGTATACTCGAATTTTTATGACTATTATTCCCTGATAAAGCTGTTCTGAGCTGATATTCCTGGGAATTAGGGTATCTTCAAGTCGAGACTAAAGCAAAAAAAAAAAATATTGAGTCTGAAGAGAAACAACTTAGCTTTGCTTTCTGTGTACTCATGTAATTTATACGTGAATGTATATTTATATATATATATTTATTCAACTTCAAATGTTGCTACTGAAAGCATCGAAGCTGAAAATATTATATTTTGTATTTTAAAAAACACGTAAGTTATTATTTTGCGAATGCATAACTGCATAGATATACAATCAAGCGAAGTGCTTTAACCGTGTAACCAATCAGCTCATTTATTAGAATAAAGCCTGAAGATAACTTGAAGAATCCAACAATGAGTAACAGAAGATATAGATGTATCGACGCAGACTGCCCGAGCCAGATACAGTTTCGACGTCAAATGCGCGATGTTCATCGCTATCGCATGCGCACGATTTATGAGAATGATAACAGCGATCAAAGTGAGTCGCACAGCAACAATAAGAGCTCTGAGGTTCCTTCGAGCTCAATGGAGAATAGTGATGGGAGCTCATCGCATATGAATTCGGCCGTCGATGCTAGTGGGAATGATTACCCAGCGGAAAGGAAACGTTCGGACGATGAGGAAAGAACGCCTCGCCGCCGCCGGCATTATGATGAGTATGATGAGTCCGATGGCTACTATTACGAGGACGAGATCCCTTGTGCTCACTATAATAATGCTAGCTATGATGTCAGGGAATACTATGAGTATGAAGACTGTGACTATAGCGATTATCCTTATTACTACGATGATAATGTAGATTCTACTTATTATGACGAGCCTAATCTATGCTTGGCATTAGAGAGAGTTGGGGGGCACGAGGACAATCGAGTCGCATTGTATGACGCGTTTGAGCCCAAGCCACCTCTGATAATAGAAGAAATCTTTGGGTGTGACACAACATTTTCCGAAGAGAATATCGCAGAGAAGAAAAAAAAGAAGAAGATGATGAAGAGGAAGTGTAGCCATAAAAAAGGATGTAACCCTAAAGTAAAAGCGGAATCGAAGGATAATGCAGAAGAAGCTAGCTCTGAGAAAATATTGAATCAGGGAATGGAAGATGAGGATTTTGCTGAAGAAAATGAGCTAGAAGAAGAAGATGAAGAAGCAGAGGATGAAGCAACTGATGAAACATCTGATGAATCAGATAATGAATCATCCAATGACTCAGCTAATGAAGCTTCTGATGAAGCATCTGATGATTTAGCTGATGAAACGTCTGATTATTCACCTAATGATGCATCTGATGAAGCATCTGATGACTCAGCTAATGAAGCATCTGATGAAGCATCTGATTCAGCTGCTGAAATAGTTGATGAATCACCTTTCGAAATATCTGATGAATCAGCTGATGAAACATCTTATGATGCATCTGATGACATATCTGTTAAATCAACTGATGAAATATCTGAACTATCCGATGTATTTTCTTATGAAACTGTCGCTGGAATCTCTGATGAAACATCTAATGAAACCGCCTATACTATGTCTCTATCAAATACTACCTATTTGTTAGAAGACATACGGGGCATGCAAAACATAAATGAAACGGAAACAGATATGGAAGTTGACTTTGGGTATTTGGAGAAGTTTGTCGAGAATCGTTGTGAGACATCTCCTACACTGCAACTGCAATGGCACCAGGCAGTTCAGGTTCCCGTATATGCCCCGACAGCCTCGCTTACTTATACGACCAGACCCCTATCCGGCCAGTCTTTCCTCTTCGATTTGAGAACTCGCCCATCTGTGGAGGACATAGTACATTTCTATACCCATCTGAGCTACAGTGGCGATATCCATGCTGATAGCATCCTACGCGTCTTGGCGGAGAAACATTTAAAATCGATAAAGGGAAAGCTATCTCGATTTTTCATTTTCAATAGGGAGTTTCTATCTCGATTGGGTTCTATATTTTGTTTTGGATTGCTGATTTATTACTATATGTTTCGCGCGGAATGGAAAGCCCAACAAGAGTTGGCGAATCGAAAGCGATTTTACTTTTTTTAAGCATCACAGCTCTTTGAAATTGTTCATAGAATATGCAATTCACTTTGTTTCACAGCGCATATGTATTTAATAAATTAGAAATTTTACTGTTACGTCTTGAAAGCATGCAAATAATTGTCACGCCTAAATCTAACTGAAGTCCCAACTAAATCAAACTACAAAAGTGTAACAAAAATTTATAAATAATTGCATTAAACTAACTGCATTAGTCCATTGTACATTGAATGATTAATGAGTGATGAATGGGAATGAGTGAGCAGAAACTGGGATTCTATTCCTATATTAGCTGCTTTGCTGGACTGCCTACCAAGTGTAGCTTTTGTAACGTATTAGAATGTAAATAACTAATGAAAAAAATTTTTATATATGTATATAATGAAAATTGTTTCTGTACTCGTATTTCAATCAAGAGTTTATTCTGTTGCAGCCACACACAACTTTCAGCGAAATTTAATTTAAATTATATATCTCTATAAGGTTAAGAGCAGCTCGAACATTGCCCCAAAAAGTAGGCAATGCATTTTTGTTGTTCGCTCATTCAAGTTGAATGCGGCGAGGAATAAACCAACAACTGTCGACAGTACTCAACGATGCTTAGTTAAATGTGCGGTGTCTGCTGAAAACACACACAAGCACATACACAAGCACAAGCACAAACACACACGCATACACGTACACGTATACGTGCAAAAACAATAACAACAGTTTCTATAAATGGCTGTTTTTAGCTTGGCCCAAAACCAAAAGATGCTTTGCAACGGGGCCAGCAGGTGGCTGATGCAAGACGACACTTGAACGCCTTGGCTTTTTGCAGCAGGTGTGCGCGTATCTGTGTGTGTGTCTGTGTGTGTGCTCTATCGTGGAGAAGCAAAGAAAATCTCAACAGAAAAGTCATTTTGCATGCAATTTTTGCAACCTTGACTCAAGTCGCCGCCTTTGCAGCCGCACCCTCAGCTGCGCATGCATGTGTGTGTGCATTTGTGTCAGCATGCATGTGTGTGTGTGTGTGTGTGTGTGTGTTTTGTACAGGTGGGGGCGAAAGCGTCAAGGTGTCATATACTATGCCACTGCTGCATTGTTGTTTTCAATGAACCAGCAGCAAAAGTAACAGAAGCTAAAAATAAATGCCACCGAAGCCGAAGACAGCAGCTGATAAAGCAGCAGCTGCCAGGCGGAAGTGACCGACTAGTAGATACCCTAACACGAGACATACTTTGCTCAACTATCAGTTACACTAAAGTCAAATAGCTTGAGCGATATGGATTTTAGCCTGATGGTGGTAAAAAAGTATAATCTATAAGATGTTACACCTGTCACTCTACTCTTTAAAAGTGGGTATAATATTTCCATTCATCAGGCAGAACACATAGCCCCGATTTAACCGGAAGTCTGTTGAGTCTAATCAATTTGTGCATCACATTTATAGCTGTGAGCTAAAACTCTTACGAGCTCTAGTAGCTGTCGCCCGTTGTTTTGCTGTCTGAGCTGAGAGATGTGAACGCTCAGAGCCTGATTTCCTATCGTGAGTTCGTGTATTTTTTTGTTGCTCTTTAAGGTAATGTAAACGCTTTGCACTGGACTATCCTGTGCGGAACTGAGAGGTTCCTCAAGCTGATGTGAATTCTTAACACGCGACTCTCAGGTATGGGACTGAAACAGAGGCACTCCTCTCCGCTTTTTGGAGTCGATTTTTATTTTCAGATGAAGAACTTCCATTGAGACGTATTTTTAATGTTTTTAATTTTTTTTTTTTTAAATACTGCATTCGTCAGGGATTATGTCGGATTTTTATGGTAAATAATTTTTTAATTTTTTGAGACCTACTCAATATGATAAACATATCTTTCTTACGGTAAAAAAATGATAGTATTAGTATTGCTGTTTGACACAAAAAACCTATTAAATTGCTCAATATTTTGAAAACAAGTTGAGCTGAATATTTAGATTTATATATATTAAGATTTACATATATATTTATTTACATATTTACATACAGTGGTTCACAGCTCTTTTCAACCAGCGTGCTGCTATATATTAAATTATTAAATTATTATTATTATTAAATATTAAGTTTTTGTTATTTAAAAATCACTTTGCTTTAATAAAGTTATTTAAATAATAATAATTGTTTTGCAATAAGCTGTGGAACTGTTTTGGTCTCATTTTTTTTTTTAGTGTTTAAGGATTATTAAATAAAATATTAAAAAAATAAATGAATTAATTTTGTATTAGTTTAAACATTACACTATCAACCTGCGTTTAAATTTTTTTGATATCCCCAATAGTTTAGATTTTATAGACCAAGAAACTTTTTTCGAGGTGCTGGTTCATTATGTAGCCCATTGAATACACCTATTAAACTATATCGACAAAGCAGATTCTCAAGAGCTGACCTTATGCTAACTATGAATGACTTGCCTCACAGCTCGGCTCTGGTTTCCTTGGTTTCCTTAGCTTTGATTATGTCAGTTTGATCGAGCATTTCGAAATAAAATTACCTGTTCAATGCTGACAATCTTTCAAATTTACACGTACATTCATTCATTTGCTGGCCAGGCTCTGCCGTCTCCCCTCTCCCGTCCGCTGCTATCTTTGGCCTGCGTGCTGAAAGGCACTTTGTCAGCTGTTGGGCGTTATTTTGATAAATGATTTGTAAATGAACGTGTGAGTTTCATTGCAAATTATGAGAAAAATTAGAGTCGCTTGCTCAGACCTCGTCCTCCTTTCCTGTGTGTGTGCGTGTGTGTGTGTGAACAGTGATTTTGCTGACTGGGATGCGGGAGTGCATAAGTGTGTTTATGGCTTATGGATAGATAATTTGTCAAAGTGCCAGCCAGGCAAACGACTGCATCAGTAGCCACTTCGGTGCCTGCACTTGACTCGCCGCGCTTTAAGCATTAATTTAATGCCTCTGCTCTGCATTTTATGGCAATTTCACAGACTCTAATGCGATGTACAGCCATAGAAGCTCTCGTATTATAGCATTATCAAGCTCTTACAAGCATCAGGCCAATGTTATGCAAATTGAAGCTCTCTTTATGTTTTGCTAGACAAATTTGATCAGTCCATTCGCTGGGTTAGTTCCAAGTGAAACAAGTGAGATTTTCCAATTGGCGTTCAAGAGTCGTGAATAAGTTTTAGTAAATACTACATATAAACTGTTATAGTCCATTTAAATTCAATTTCATAAATTCTATAATATTCAAAAACTGATGCAACTGATGTCAGAATTGTTGAATGGATTGGCAATTATCATATAATTCATGCGATATTGCGACATTCCGCCCATTCAATGCCCACAATTGCAATGCATATATATTATGTGGTAATAAGTAAACAAGTATTGCTGCCAGATAGTGTAATACCCTTTAGACTTGATTGAGTAGCATATGAAGTGACTAGTAGTTCCTCGGATTAGCATGCTGTGAGACATATGTAAGTGCCCAAACGGACTGACAGCAGCGCAATTGGGATAACGTTTGACTAACGGCAAAACCCACAAATTCTGACATCTGTCAGGACCAATTTCGGGACACAAGCGAGGCAGAGTCCAAGGAGGAGAAATGAATGGAAGCAATGAATATATATTGTTGCTTCGGCATTATTTATGAAAATATCAGCGAAAGGAGGCGAAGTCTGAGGTCTGCATTGACTCATTGTCACTTCAATTTGCGTTACAGCGCCTTCACTCTCTCTCTCTCGCTCTCCCTCTTCTTGGCCAAAAGCCATCTGATGTTGGCCAGACGCAGCTGGCAACAGTGAGCGGGCCATGCGAAATTTGTAGCTGCCACATGGAAAATCGTGTTAGAAATTCGCAATTGGCCACTCAAGCGTGAATTTGTATGCGGCCAGTGTTGGTCAATATGAAAATAATCCTTTCCACGGCTTCGGACTGAACGGCCCAACAGCTGGCCATGCAAATTCGATTTGCCCCGCCTATTCAACACAGCTAATACCCAGTAAATTATAGCAAAAGGTGATATAGCAAAGCATTGCAATGCATTGATATGAACTCTGGTTCAATGTGAAGAGCAAGTCGAGTCGGAAAATGATATTAAAGACTTCATTAAGGATGCTAAATGAATTGCAAAACTGCTGAGCAATTTGTTCTACCTGGTTGAATAGGTAAGATAGGAGTGTACGCAATTGGAGTGTATTCCTGAATGAGCTCACTCGTTCATTTTAGTAAAATCTTTGAGTACATGACTGTAGCGTTCGCAATTCCCCGAACAAGTTCACTAGTTCATTGCAATGAACTGTTTAATTGAACTCGTGACTTAGTTTATTTCCAATTTGACTGTAGCTCTCAAAGATCCCTGAACAAGTTCACTAGTAATTTTTAATGAACTAGTTTTCTAGGTAATTTTAATGAAGTAATTCAGCTCATGACTGATGAACTGAAGAGCGCTCTGCATATCGAGTTTATTTCATTCAAATAGAAATATATATGTATATATAGTATATATTGTAATAAATAGAATATATGATAATTCTCTGATTTTCCGAATAAAATTAATTTATTTTTATTTATTGTAATAATCTCTCTTAAGCTTAATGAGCCCTTTAAAAAGGGGGAGGTATATGTATAAGGTGTAAGTAATATATGGTGTATATTTGATTAGGATTTCCAGCTAAATGGACTTAGCCTATTTCGTTCATCAGTCCGTTCGTCGGTCTGTCCGTTTCTGTCGGCATAGCCATTTCTATCTGGAATTCCTCATATTGCATGCTCAAATCAAATTAGTTTCAATTATAGTTTGGTCCATGAAATCGATTAGAAACGTTGTCGAATTTGAATTTCCATTATTCAATTATGTATATCTCGCTCACAGCTGCATGCACAGATCCATGTGAGTTTCACACAGTTTGCATTTTTCTTCTATTCAGACACTCATATAAATTGAAGTTCATTTGCGAATATACAGTAAATATGGATAAAAATGGACTACGTGCATCGATTGCTGCAAAATGCAAAATTTAATTGAAGTTCGCTCAGCTACGCAAAAGTTATCAAAGAAAACGTGTGGTTAAATGGGCGAAACCACGTGACAATCAGAGTCAAGCGAGTGCATTTCCCCATGCATGGTCACACATGCATTCAAATGAGTGCATTTTTCTTGGAAATAATTATCAATTTTATTCGACTATTTAAGTAAATGGAAATTGCATTTGAATTCTGCTTTAATTTTCAGCTGTTGACTTCATTTTATTATTTCTCACTCTGCCAGAAGTGCTTGCTGTGCTTTCGTCTAATTTGAAACTTATATGGCTCAGTAAATATATAAGAATATATGTATATATGTAAGTGCAAGTGTCCGTATGTATGTAGAGCATGTATTAGGATCTCTCTTCGATTAAGGTCTCTCTTTAAAAGCACAGATCGGTGGTATTCCCGGTATTCCATAGTCAGGCTTTCTCCTCTAGAAATTTTTACTTTTTCCTTTCATATTTCATAATTTCATAATGTATTTGACTTTCACATATATTCTATTATATATATATTGCATATCTGAATAGGTAGAGTGGCTATAGTCTGATGGATCTATCAGCTGAGTTAGCTGATGGAGTTGCTTAGAGCTATACAACATTTATTAATCGATTATTGAACCATATGATTAACTTAAGCTATGCGATCATTAATGTGCATTAACCGACGTAAAATAATCGGTTCATCAATTGATTGATTTTTTTATAGTTTTTTTAAGATATTGTACGGTAAACAAATCTATTAACGGCTGAACAACTATATGAAAATATTTATTTATTAAGTCCAGAATTCAGAAACAATAGCTCGAAAGATGTGTGGTCGACAATCTGTTCCTATTTTCCGAAGCATCTGTCTGTTGCTTTTCCGCGAAAACAATCCAGAGACCGAAACGATTTTTTTTTTAATAATCGATTATGCCTTCAATTATTATCGATACAATTCAATTGCCAATGGAAGCAAAATAATCGATTATTTTGTATTTTTTCGTACACCACTACACATATTTCTAGCTCAATTCTGTATCGATTGAACAACACAGTTGACTACTTCTGAGGCCTTTATATTAATAGGATAGTTTTCCTTATTTCTAATGACTAAGACTTACACTTTGTTCTGTTCTGTTCTGTTCTGTTCTGTTCTGTTCTCTCTGTGGTTAAATCGATTTTGGTCAGTTATTAGCATGCTCTATATATGTAACAATGTTGCTAGCTTATCGAACGGCCCTCGTACGGTGTGCTATAAAAATTTGTTGGCCATGGCTGCTACTGTGGGTAAGTAAATCTAGTCCTGAAATTTGGTTCTTCATTTGGAGTGGGGATTGCTCGTGCATACAAATAAAACTGCTCCAATACAATGCAAATACTGATTGGGAACTAATGTTTGAATAGGATGGTCGATTCAAGTAAGTAGTTACATGATTCATAAAAAGCAAACATTGTTGAGCAAGTTAGAAAAAGGTGTTAAATTTGTTCGCCTAATTTTAGAATATGTTGATTCATGTGCTGAACGTATTTTTAGCTTGAAACGTTCATTAATAATCAATTTTTTACTTTACTTAAATAAGTTTACTTAAATAAACAGTTCAGAGTGCTCCAGTTTAATATGTTCAATCAGCATATAGCCTCAACTCAAGATAGACTTTGAATTTAATGGGTGTAATAATGAACTGAATCTGAACTAGCTTGAATGATGATACGGTCTAATTCACTCTAAATTCATTCTGATCTCAGCTCAAACAGCTGCCCCAACTAATATATTCCTTCTCAAAAAAGAAAGAAAGGAAAATCTCTCCCTGAATACATTCTCCGATTGCCATCCATTAGCTATTACTGTTTTTGCTACAGGAAGACGGATTTCTTTGTATTTTATGCCCGGAGTCGATCCTTGAAGGGCACTAAAACTGCGAACGTAAAGCGGCGAATGCAACAAATTTTTGTTGTTGCAACATGCCAAGTGTGTTGGACGTAAAGTTGCAGCGAGCTGGCGCTGGCGCTGGCTAGGGCTACGGCCATTCCATAGACATCTGGGGCATATAAAAAATCAATTAGCTGCCTTTCTGGCGTTATGGCATATTAAAAGCGAAGATTGCCCAGAATATTTGCAATTATTACGCATAATTTGGCTCGAGTCGACGGGCCATTTCGGCCATCGCCATCGCCATCGCCATCGAGCTGGGCTCGCTGATGTAACGACTTCGGGGGTCGCCGCACTTTTATTGGCACTTGGCCATCAAAAGGAGGAGGATAATACATGGGCGTGGCGGCAGTGGGAGGCAATGGCTGCGGCAATTGCCTCTGTTTGACTTACCCAATATGACGAGCGCATTGCCCAGGAGTCCGGCGAAGCCAATGATGCCAAAAAACACCGGCACAATGATGGACACAACACGCTCCAGTGGCCAAATCTCGCCGTCTCGCTCCAAATCCATTTCCAGCAGATTGTCCGGATGCATTGAGCTGTTTAAGTGGTCCAGTGCCGAGCTGCCAAGCATATAGTTGCTGCTGTTGTTTCCCATCTGATTGTTGTTGTTGTTGTTGTTGTTCTTGTTGAGGGCAGTGGCATTGTTGCACTCGCTGGCGCTGAGCCACTCGGCGCACTCAATGGCGGCTGCCCCATGGCTGCCGGCCGGCCAGAAGCTAATTAGCATGGTCAGAGTCAGCGCGGCGGCCAGGCGGCGCCTGATCGGGCCCATTGCCACGCCCACTTGTAATAGAGCCCGCAAATGTGTATTAATTACCCCAAGCCCTTATCGCTTCTGTTGTGCCTGCTCTGATTATCGGCCTTGCGCCTCGGCTTTGTTTTCCATGCAATTCCGATCAGGCTTTCAATGTATCTGTGTGGGCTTTACACATGCAGCGCAGCCCCATAGCCACGCCCTCGGTGCATATCCCGTCCCGGCGAGGAGGATGGGCCAAGTATCTGCTCTGCGTGCCGGCCGTGAATAATATGCCTGCAAAGGACAATCAAGCGCAATTTGTTTCAGTGTATTTTGATAAAAGTTATGGCAGGTGTAAATGCAGATACAGCTATGTGTAGATACAGACAAAAGTTGAAAATACAAATACAGATACAGTTAAGTATATTTAATTTAATTTTTTCAATTGTGATTCGGCTTCTTGATAAGCTTAATAAAAAGTTCGATTCAATAGGTGCTCAAATTTAATAAATTGCCTTCGCAATGCTACGCAATAATAACTGGCTCATAACATCCACTGATGGCCATTGAGATAATATGCAAAATTTAATTAATTCGTTTCATTCATTCTGTGAAATTGCGGTCAAGCATACTTGGCAAAGTTTTATTACATTTGATCGACACGGCCCGTAGTGCGGCATGCGGCATGTGGCATGTGGCAAGCGGCATGTGGCGCGTATTAATGAGCAACGCCCAAATTAAAATATTATTATAAGGTGCCATGTGAAGATGCTACGTTGAGACAAAAAGTATTAGACCTTTGGCCAGGGCCAGGGATGCACTAATTGAAATCCGTGATGAGAATCGAGTCAAGTATTCTATTTGACCATGGATAAAGTGTGCAATCCATGCGCCGCTAGTCGTAAAGCCAGTTTATAACTAGCAAATAGTTCGGCTTCGGCTTGCAGAGTAACGAAGTAAACACAGATAATCCCAGTGGTTTATAATTTACACAGGAGTACTTGAATACTTTAATAGCTATTTAATAGAATTTCCTATAAGTAAATATAAAGAATTTTATATTTCTAATTATTATATTTGTGGAGTAGGAATTATTTTAGACATTTAAATATGTCTTTTTAAACGTTTTTTAATGAAACAAAAAATTAAATAAATAGAATAGGAGATTTATTAAATTGATGTTTTTTTTTTTCCTTTAAATTTTTTTTTTTTATGTACTTTGAAGCTTTTCTCAATATACATATATACATATATTTTTTTATAATATAAAACATACATATTCTATTTAGATAATTTTTTGTTTTGTTAAGAAAACCTTTAAAGAGACTTATAAAATTGCTATAAAGTTTAAAAAGCTGACTGGTTCAATAATTTAGTTCGTCACGGTATGTACATATGTATGTATGCATGTATGTATGTAGATACCGAATACAATTACTAACTTTCGACATGGCATTCTTAGCATATGGCACAGTGCTTACATACGTATGTACGTACTTATGTATCTATGTCGTAGCTTACGCATAGTTCTACATTTGTAGATCTATATACCCAGCCTCCAATGAGTCCCCCGTTGTACTTCTGCAATTCACTTGCTCTCACATCTCATACCGTCTCGCAATTCTTAGCAGCTTTTTCTACATTGTGCTCCAGCAAAAACACACTGCTTTATGACAGTAGGCACACATGCCATCTCGTTCACTCCCAGCATTAGCTATGTTTGTCTCACTCTCTCCGAGTGCCAATTTGAGTACTTTATATATCGTGCTGCCAACTTGAGTGAAGCCCACAACACGACTCTAACAATAAGACGCTATGTTGCTCTACAGATCTTTATTACGTCACATTATCTTCGGGATATAATAATTAGATAGGTAATGAAATAATTTATGTATATACTGTAAGCTGTAAGCAGTTCTATAAATACTAGCTCTATTCATCTATGTAGAATCTTACTCGAGTTTCATTTATGGATAATAGATGACTTTCCATGAAGTAGATCCGAGCATTTGTCAACTTCTTCAGCTAAATTCTTTGAGTTTCTAGCTATTTATGGCACAAGCATTTCGCTTGAATTCCCGAAACGAACGAAGTTATTTACAGTTCACATTCTGTTGCTATGAATCTTGTATAATTTTGGCACCGAGTATAATTAGCTGCGAGTATCGGGTAGGCGCGACGGCACCCGAAATTCCCTTAACGTTTTGCACAAATCTTGCAATTTACATAAAATTTAGATTTCGCTGTGTATATTTTATTTTTTATGCTCGCCATTTAATTGAGTCCTGGCAGAAGAAGTAGGCTCTGCTATTTTATCTCGTGGGACGCAGGACAGGTGCCAGAAAGCGTTTTAAATTTACCTTAAATGTGCGTAGCATTGCAAAATACCGCTTTTTTCTCTTTTCTCTCTCTCTCTCTCTCTCTCTCTCTCTCTATCTGCTGGAGCTATTAGAGTCCGAGGCGTCCTCGAGCAACTTTTTAGCTCTTATCGACAACTTTTGCCGTTGCCAACAAAGCCATAAGCCCATAAACGGCAGATATTCAATAACTCATTTCCAATGGATGTAAGTGGGTTTTATCCAAAAAGTTAACTTTCCTGCAACTCTTTATGTCTCACAAAAGATTACATTTGAATAGGTAACTTCAGTTGATGTAGTCTTTTCTGTTTTGCTTAAAAACAAAGTTTGGATTCCTATTAATAGATTTGGGTAGGCAAATCCCAAGGCAGAAAAGATTAGCTAGCGGTAGAACAAAATGTGAAATGCATACACAGGTATGTGAATACCCTAACTAGTTAGCATACTGAGTCATTAGACAATAAATAATATACATAATGAATAAAAGTCTGGATTATAATGAACCACTAATCTGGTTCGTGAATGAACTAAATGAATATTTCTTATTGATATGGGAGGTTGATTGGGAATTGAATCAGCATATAGTAATGTCAGTATGGAAAGCAATGTTCACATTACATTCATTTATATTTCATTCTATGCAGATCATCCGCATTTAATCAGAACTTTCATCTTATTTCAACTAGCGTTTATCATTGGAGTAAAGAAATAACATCGATTAAGTTCAGTTATCGAACGAATAAGGTTAGCTAATGGAAGAAGTGGATAAAATATTTGATCGATTTTCAGCTGTTGCTTAGGCGTTGAATCGATTGATGAAAGCGGCCGTTGGCCCGGTTCCACTCCAACAGCCAAGAGGCAAGAGCCAAAAGCTTTAAGGAAATTCAATTTCATGGCCGCTTGCCCCACAATGACTGCGCTGAGGTCTTGAGTGGGTTCGTTGTCTTTGGGATAACAGCTCTTTTATTTGGCCGGCCGAGCCATAAACCGTTTTGCCACAAAGCAATTGGCCAAGAAGCTATAAATCAAAACAGCTTAAAATGCTCAACATAAATCAGCTTTTCAGCATTCAGCATTCAGCACTCATTCATTCACTCTTTTTGCCCTAATAGAGCTCAAATCGATAGACATACACACATACATAGATATAACAGTCTTGGGAATGCGTTGCTAGTCAACAATTACGAAGACGAGGCTGTAAATTGGCTCTATATAATTCATTCATCGCACATAAATGAATTTCGGAATTGAATACACTCACACATTGAATAGCTATGCCAATGTGAATTCCAATCGCGATGATTGACTTCAATGTGGAATCAAATACATATGTACACATATCTACATACATATGTACAAATTTAGATGTAATAAGTATTTTCATTTATAAATTAAAATATACTCAAAATTATTATGTATGAGGCTGGAGGCATGAAGAGAAAACGTTTTTAGTTCTTAACAACATCAAAGACATGATTTATAAATATAGAATTTGGAATAGATTATAAATCTAATGTAACTTAACCCCAATCCCACTTTCAATGGATTCTGTGGGTGAATATAATGCCAGATTACATTAACAGAAATAGCTTATTTTGCTAACATTGTCTTTTGCTATGCTATTAACAGCGGATATCCGCTGTTGGGGCGAGGAGCAATTCTTGTTAATGTCGTCTGGTATTCACAATAAATATTTACATAATTATTATTATTTTTTTTTTATTTTATTATTATTATTACTATTAGCATTATTATCGTTACAAATTGTATTAATTAATTTAAAGACGGGCAAAAATTATATTAAAAATGTAAACGTATTTTTATACTCATTCACGAAAGTGAATCAGTATATTGGTTTTGTGCAATGTCCGTCTTGCTGTCCGTCCGTCTGTCCGTCTGTCCGTCCGTCCGTCTGTCCGTCTGTCCGTATGAACGCAATCTATTTCGGCGCTATTGAAGCTAGAGACTTGAAATTTGGAACACATACTCGTGTATATCTCCGATTTATAAAGTGTTAAAATTTTCCCGATCCGCCCTCTAGGGGCGTGGCAAATCGGAAAATGCATTTTCCGATATACCAGAAATCATGTTAGTTAAAGAGCTAGAAAGCTGAAATTTGGTATGTAGGTCCGCGTTGACCACCCAAGATCACGAGCTATGGCGGATATATCTACGCCCATTGGGGGCGTGGCAAATCGGATAAAACTGTATCTCCTAAAGTTGTAAACCTACAATGCTGAAATTTTGCACGTCAGCTAATGGTATGACTCTATAAAATCTATAGATAAAATTATAAGTCTATGCCCATTGGGGGCGTGGCAAATCGGACCTGAAGATATAGTGATTTTTTAAATTCTCCTATATTTTGGACACTACTGATGGCAGAGACCTCAAATTTTGTATATATACTCGGACTGATCACCCAAGACCAAAAAGTTTTGTCGGATTTATGTCCGCCCACAGGGGGCGTGGCAAACCACAAAAGTTTATATCTCCTAAAGTATAATAGCTAGAAGCTTTAAATTTGGATAGTTGAGTTACTGGTAGCCGCCTCTATCGATTCCCCAAAAATAATTTTTACGCCTCTTTAGGGGCGTGGCATATCGAAAAATACCCTGTAATTTTCACATTTTTTTAGGTTAAGCATTCAAACTTTGCAGTTAGGGTACCGTTATCTCTTTCTAAAAACTGACCAAAAATGAGGTGTCTACGCCCAGTTGGGGCGTGGCAAATCGGGAAAACCTGTATAATCTACAGTATTAGAGCGAAACTTAACTACTAAATTGTTGATGGGATGTGAATGAGTATTCCGCAGTCGGTAACGGCCGACTGCAACGTTCTTACTTGTTATTTATATATTATGCTTCTGATTGGTATCTATTAGTCAGGTACGCCCGACTAGAGCACTCTTCTTCATTCATTCAATCGATTAGAAGT